TACTCTGCCATAGCCAAACAAAAATCAGTCAACATGGTTTCGAAATTTTAAACTGTTCCTCACCACCTCCAAAGGTTTTTTTTTTGTCAGTGGGAGAGATTGAGCTTTCCTCTCTCCCAATGGATGTGCTGGCACATGTACCATCCCACCTCCAACACTCCAAACAGCCTGGCTCTCATTTGAAGATTCTGCCCATCCCTCTGCCCTTGTTCTGGACCCTTCCCCACCATCAGAGGAAAGAGGGTGGCTAAAGAGAAACTATCCTTCAATCATCTTACACTCCTCGGTTAGATCGCCTCCTCATCATCCCCAGTCATAGAATCATACAGCATGGAAACAGACCTTTCAGCCCAGCTCGTCCATCCCGACCAGATATCCTAAATTAATCTAGCCCCATTTTCTAACATTTGACCCATATCCCTCTAAACCCATCCTATTCATGTACCCATCCAGATGCCTTTTAAATGTTGTAATTGTACCAGCCTCCACTTCCTCTGGCAACTTGTTCCAGATATGCACCACTCCCTGCGTGAAAAACGTGCCCCTTAGGTCTCTTTTAAATCTTTCACTTCTCACCCTCTAGTTTTGGACTCTCACACCCTGGAGAAAAGACCTTGGCTATTCACCATATCCATGCCGCTCACGATTTTATAAACTTCTTTAAAGTCACCTCTCGGCCTCTGAAGTCCAGGGAAAATAGCCCCAGCCTATTCAGCCTGTCACTGTAGCTCAAACCCTCCAACCCCGGCAACATCCTTGTAAATCTTTTCTGCACCCTTTCAAGTTTCACAACATCTTTCCTGTAGCAGGGAGACCAGAATTGCACACGGTATTCCAATAGTGGCCTAACCAATGTCCTGTACAGCTGCAACAGGACACCCCAACTCTTATACTCAATGCACTGACCAATAAAGGCAAGCGTACCAAACGCCTTCTTCACTATGCTGTCTACCTGTGACTCCACTTTCAAGGAACTGTGAACCTGCACTCCAAGGTCTCTTTGTTTGGCAACACTCCCCAGGACCTTACCATTAAGTGTATAAGTCCACCTGAGGGACCACAAGTCCAGTCTGCACAGCCCCTCCTGTTGTTTAACTTTTTCACATCCAGGGTCTTTCTGGGTGACTTTGTACTGAAGCCCCTCTGATACCTTGCCCATCGTCTGAAAGATAGTACCTCTAATACTTGTTGAAGTTTGGGCCTGGATTAGTTGCTCTGATCTATAGATTGGGGCATGAAGTAATGATCTTCCAATTCAGAGACTGGTATGAGAGCTGAGCATGTGGGGGCCAACTCAGCTCCAAAAGCAAACCCATCAACTTTGCCCCATTACAAATACTGATTGATACCGGGCTGCAGGGAGACAGCAGGACAGTGGATATAGTTTTGGGATTGATGCAGGACTTTGGAAAGGATATGAGCAGCGGGATTACTTTGAAGATCGATACTGGGGTATGGGGGAAGAGAGTGGAGCAAATTTTAATTTTATTCAATCATGGGACATAAGCATTGCTGGCTGGGCCCAGCGTTTATTGCCCCGTCCCTAGTAGCCCCTTGAAAAGGTGGTGGTGAGCTGCCTTCTTGAACCGCTGCAGTCCGTGTGGGATCTGCGATGCCCACAGGCAGAGAATCCCAGCATTTTGACACAGCGACAGTGAAGGAACGGCCGATATATTTCAAAGTCAGGATGGTGTGTGGCTCTGAGGGGAACTTACAGGGGGCAGTGTTCCCATGTATCTGCTGCCCTTGTCCTTCTAGATGGTATCTAGGCGGTATCTAAGGATCTTTGGTGAATTTCTGCAGTGCATTTTGTAGATGGTACACACTGCTGTGACTGAGCGTCAGTGGGGGAGGGAGTGGGATGCTTGTGGATGTGGTACCAATCAAACAGTCTGTTTTGTCCTGGATGGTGTCGAGCTTCTTGAGTTTTGTTGGGGCTGCCCGCATCCAGGGGCAAGTGGGGGGTATTCCCTCACACTCCTGACTTGTGCCTTGTAGATAGTGGACAGGTTCTGGGGCTTCAAGCGGTGTGTTACTCACCACAGTATTCCTAGCCTCTGACCTGCTCTTGTAACGTTTGTCTGACTGAAAACATTCTACTAACACTGCATTGTATCTCTTAGCCTCTCTCCTTTCTGGCTGAATCAAGCACGTTAAGAATTGATTGGAAACAGGGCTCGAGAGTCTGCTGTGCTCCGCCAAGTCGGTCAGAGGTTTCTGAAAGGAAGTTGTAAAAGGATTAAGTAAAAGTTGTAAACATATAAGCACTTGTTGAAACAGGGAGTTAACATGACAAAGTACATCGGCAGCTATAGAGTCTGAACGAACACTGTGCATAAGTATTGTAGACATAAAAGAGAGTTAAGATGGCAAACAAGAAAAACTACAAAACCAGATTCACAGCACTGAAAGCCATTCAGGTTTTTTTGAGGATTGGGGATTGATACAGGGCTATGGGGAGAGAGTGGGGCAGTGGGATTAGTTTGGGGATTGATACAGGGCTACGGGGAGAGAGTGGGGCAGTGGGCTTAGTTTGGGGATTGATACAGGGCTACGGGGAGAGAGTGGGGTAGTGGGATTAGTTTGGGGATTGATACAGGGCTATGGGGAGAGAGCGGGGCAGTGGGATTAGTTTGGGGATTGATACAGGGCTATGGGGAGAGAGCGGGGCTGTGGGATTAGTTTGGGGATTGATACAGGGCTATGGGGAGAGAGCGGGGCAGTGGGATTAATCCCACTGCCCCAACCTCTGCCTGTAGCCCTGTATCAATCCCCAAACTAATCCCACTGCCCCACTCTCTCCCCATAGCCCTGTATCAATCCCCAAACTAATCCCACTGCCCC